GACGCACATCGCTCGCCCGTGGGCTCAAATCGCTTCCCACACGCCGGTGATCTTTCCACGCCTCCTCGGGTGCAGACTCCTCCGTCACCTGGCGGCCATGTGGCTGTGAAAGTTCTCGATGTTCTGATGTGTGAATGCAGTTTTAATGCTACATGGTGTGAAAATGGGGAAGAGAGAGAGAGAGAGAGAGAGAGAGAGAGAGAGAAAAGAGGGTAAAAAAAGAAGCAAAGAATAATGTGCCTGTCATTCTCCGCAGAGGGCTTTCAGCTTGAAAATGTCGATTTTTGTTTCTAATGACCGTTTCCAGTTTTATAATCAAAATGCAACTGAAAGTTAGAACAATATATTGTATAAAGAGATTAAATGTTTAAGCCCTAGCCTTGTGTCTGTGTGGTATTATCAGGTAAAGCAGCTTCCACTCGGTAGAAATGCATTAAAATTTATGTCTGAAAAATCCAACCTTAAATTTTGGAATGGAAGACGATTCAAAATCATCCATCCATCCATTTTCTGAACACCCTTGTCCCTCAGTGGGGTCGGGAGGGGTGCTGGTGCCTATCTCCAGCTAACGTTCAGGGCGAGAGGCGGGGTACATCCTGGACACGTGGCCAGTCTGTCGCAGGATTCAAAATCAAGAAATATTTATTTTCTTTTCCTGTTTTTTTTTTTTTTTAGTTATAGATACATGTAATATCTCCTTTCACTGTGGTTGCTACAGTCTTGAAGAGTCAAGAACACTAAGGGAAAACAAGCTAAAATGGAGAACACAATGTTTATTTCTAAATGTTCCATGTCCTGTTGTCAACATGATAATCATTCCACACAGTTGGATTCATCTGTTGATCTTTCCATCCATACAAATATTCTTGAAATCCATAATTTTTTAATCCTTTAGAGTCTGGATTTTAATTTGACAATTTTCCAATTTTGCGTTTGTGTGGGAGAATGAAAGTTTAGCTTTTTTGAAATTAAAAACTTCATAAGCTAAATCCTACACAAAACCTGCAGGATGACTGAACTCTGAAGGATAATGTCTATGATAAACTAGTTGGACTAAGAACAGCGAAACTTAATCATTTAGGGCAAATCACTACTGCAAATTCACTCTGGATCCACAGTGAATGTGGATGTATTTTTTTTTAATTATTTTTAGTTGTATTTTTGCAAACCTTATTAAACGATCAAAGCTAGTTGCAATTCACATTTTTGTCCAGCATGGGGCGCTGTGGTCTCACTGTCACCTTCATGAGAAACCTCGAGTAACATTTCAGCTCTTATTGCAGTATTGGAGTGAAATGTAAACGTAGCGGTGTATTTTGACGTTTGTTTTACTTATATTTTCAACCATATGTTTTACAAACAGCAGCAATGATGAATAAGTTTATGAATACGACGCGCTAAATGGAAGTGCCTCCCCAAGACTGGAGAAGACACAAGCAGGGCAGATGGGTTATTATCTAGAGCACGTTAAGAGGTTTAATATTTACATTTTAGGTTATAATACAATATGCTGTTGTCGGAGCTGTGAGGCTTTAGAAAAGGGGAAAAAAACAAAACATGATTAGATTCATAAATGATCCACCGGAGCCCTTTAGCATCAAACTCATTTGTTGAACATTTCTGGAGAAAGAGAGACAGAGACTGAAACTTGTATTTCAAACACTTTTTGTATATCCAGTTAAACTCTGGTATCTTTATTGTGGCGCAGTTTTGAGAAAGGAAATATGTTAGCTTGTTTTTTTTTTTTACAACAAAAATCAGAGATGAGTGCTGTGCATTTGAGTTGGTACTACTTTGAACTGCCTTCCATTGCAAATACATCGACCAGCCTCTTGGGGCATGCTTTGACCAGCTGCCACTTCAATGCTCGATTTGCTTTTGGACTTTAACTAGGCCATTCTAACATGAGGGTATGTTTTAATCAACAGTAAACCACTCCATTGTGGGCTGTCTGTTACTTCGTCGTTTACTTTCAAAAATTAAGCTGAAGCATGGAATCATTATCTGGAAATACTTACCTTAAATGTGTATTTTAAACAAGAAATATGATAAAAAGATGTAAAAGTGGCCTGTAATTTGAACCCCAAAGTCAATCCAACATTTTTTTTTTTTTTAGCAAATATTTCTATTTATCTCGTCTTCAGTCATGTGTGTGTATTTTGTGACATTGCAGGGTTTTGAGATGATTCCAGAGTCAAGTAGCTGAAAGGCATCTCTGAACCCGGCTGTGTTTACAAGACTAAGAGCTCAGCGGGAGCGTTGGGAGGATGTTGCACTCCGAGCCTGTCTGGTCACAAAGAGCAGGCAGCAACAAATCCTTATTTGGTGACACAGGGCAGCCAGAGAGTCGGTCAGCAATCATTTCAGACAAACAGCTCAGAAATCAGCCTTGACAGTTTACTTCGAGGGCTGATTAGTGAATAGTGTGGTTTGGCACTATTTTTATACTCTCACAACCACGATCGCGGTAGAGATCATTAGTGAGACTACTCACTTTTTTTTTTTTTTTGTCATGGAAACAGAAATAATCTTTTTGTAGTTTGGAGTAATTGTGGAAATGCGCCCATGAGAATAAGTTTGACTTGCTAATGCAAATTGGATGGCAATTTATTTGAGAAACTGTTTTAGCGCAACACATTTGGCGTTTAAGTGTTTCGGCAAGCATTTGTAGAGGAAAAAAATAAATAAAATTCCCGCTAATCACTGCTTAACACACAACCGTGGATTATGGTTTTTTTTTTTTAAATGTTCAAAACAACAGAGACATCAGCACTGACAGAGACATCAGCAGGAGGCTCTACAGCCGTGTAGGTTTATTTATGAGTCAGAAATAAATTCACACTTTATTTGCAATCATAGAAAAACTGAACATACAAATGAAGCTAAGGCTGAGCACAGGGTAAAGGCTGCAGGTAAAACAGAAACCCACAGCGCTTGAATTTATAAGCAGGAAAATCTAGGAAGAATACATTTGTGATTTCAATAGAAGAAAAAAAAACGTACATAATTCAGTAAGTAATGTCCACACAGACTGAGCTTCAAATGACGAAAGTAAAATTTTAGGCTGACTATTTGTTGCATGATTCCTCAAGCTGCTTATGTTTATCCTAGTGCCACAGAAATAAGCTGAAACTCTGACTTAAAGTTCTGAGATCTCCATTTGTATTTGCAAGCACACGTCATCATATACATTCATTTGACAGCAAAAAAAAAAAAAAAAAAAAAAAAGTTCACTCATAAAGAAAATATTCTATGGAGCTAAATGACAAAAGCTGTCCAATCCAACAGCTTGTTTTGTGTAGTTTTCTTCCATTCAAACACAAAATCATAATTGAAAAAGAAGATTTTGTAATTACTCAGGTTAGTTAGCTTTGTCTGATTAAAAAAACAAACAAACAAAAAACAACTATTTGCTCATCTAAAATATTTAAGCAAAGACAGAGGGAGCCAAATACTTTTTCACCAAAAACTCTAGCACAATGCCATTATTAAACAACGATACAAGGATTCTCATGACACATAGCAGAAGTTGCTAAATATATACTTACAGTGTTATGTTTGATCTGGATGCTTAAACTGCTTCTAAGTGTAAATAAAATGAAGACACGTCAGTCACTTAAGAGAACATGGATCAGTTGTAAGGCATAGAATAATATCACCTTTACAGACATCATTCATTGTTATTATCAACATCATCATTTTCTTGCATATAAACACTGTACAACATAAAAAGACATAAAAACTTAGTTTTATACATAACAACGCAGTATCATTGAAAAGGCATTTGGTTAAAAATACAGATGACGCATGAAAGGTACAGGAACCGAACCTGAAATATTCACATTGAGTTTGATGCAGCTGACACAATTACTAATTTAATCATTACGTTTTACAGCCGTTTTGTCTTCACATCTTATGTTACAGTGGCAGGAAGCAATATCTGTTAATGCCAGTTTTAAAATGACACTATGCTTTGACCAAATGAAGGAACTCTGTATACAAACACACTTTGAATAAAACACTAGTAAATTTCAATACATTCACACAGTTGCTGTGTGTTAATTGGAGTAGTTACAACTCCATCCGATCCGATGAGTTGGAAAGCAGCAAACTGTGATAATCTGTGTCCACTGTGTATCACATTATTCTCAGCTTGTATATAAATGTAAAAAGAAGAACAGACTATTATCTGGAATACATTTGCTAACCCAAACTTTCACTTGGCTCGAGTCAGCTCATGCTTGACCTTCTCTGAGCACACTTTACATATTTTTAAAACATTTTCAGCAAACGAGCTCACAGAGGTTTTGACTTAATGCGTTCCTTTTGATCGCAGTCGAGCCAAAGTGACCCAGTGGCTCACTTACTCAAAAATAATAAACAAGTTGGTATGAATATGAGGCCGATCCAGATCCAGGAATTATTAGCATTTAACCCTGGCCTGGCTCCGGATCCTGGAGTTTTTACTGCTCAAATTTGGGGAAGCTATTTGGTTTCAGGGTTAAATGCTAACTTTGACTTCTGATAAAGTTCCTGGAAACAAGCCAGCGATGCGGTCTGCTATCTGGTGACCATGAGAAAGCTCTTGTTCAGAGCAGCGGTTCCAAGGGAACCTTCTGGTGGATGATTGAGGTTTTTCTCACTTTTAACCCGATTCCCTCTCAGATTCCTTTGCTGGTACTGTTCCACTTTCAGTCTCCAACATTGGGAGTGTTTTATTTATGACAGTGCAGACTTGTAACTAGCCGCAATCTCTCAAGGTTTAGTCTTTTCTTCAAAGTGACAGACGGGGTTGTGGCCACGTCAAGCGCAATGAGCCGCTATTTTAAGACTTGCTAATTAGATTTGAAGCTTGAATAATGTGTAAATTCCCATTGGCACAGATTTACACATTTAGGATGTGTGAAGATTCAAATGAGGAAAGATGAACTTTTATAAACAAGCATATTTTAACTAGCAAATATCCTTAGCAAACATCTTTGTAATGTATTTATTTAAAAAAAAAAAAATAAAGAGTGGAGTTTTAAATAAAAATATTTGAGAAAGGTGTGTTTGTTTGGTAATGCATTGATTTCATGCTAGCCCTTTCTGTAAAGTGCTAGCATTAATTTGTGCTAACAAAGTATCCACCACTGGCTGTTTGTTTGCCAATGAATATTTCATTTCTTTTAATCATAATGACAATGAAAGCACTAAGAGATTCTTAAGCAGGGGTGAAATTTAATGGGGAGGTTAAAAATATTGCAAGATTTACAAGCAAAAGATGCTCATGCCCTAGCTTGTGCTAATCTACAGCTCTATAAGCAGAGTAAACCTCTTAAGAGAAACCAAAGATAATGTGACACATAGCTGCTCAGCTTCCAGTTCAGCAGTGGAAACAACGATTTGGCCTTCTGTCAACTTTCACAAACAGCTTATGATCATAATGTTGTTGTTGGATTTACAATTTCACTGGATTTTCACAATTTTTTCAAGCTAATGCTGAAGTCATACACTAGCCAGCAATTATTCCTTTTTGACAAAAACAAAAGCCAAGGAAAACATTTCTCTCTAAGATAAAACACAATTATCTTTTTTTTTTTTTTAAATGTCCAAATTCTTTTTAAATATAAACACAAATGCAGTCTGGTGTCGACCATTTCGGCAGCCAGCCATCAGTCAATTCATATCCACTCTTTTGTTTTATACGTCGCTGCTATACGGTGTTGTCAACTCAATATCAAGTTAAAAGTCGTTAAAAGTTTGCCTTCGTTGCGGTTTTGTTGGGCAAGCTTCATAAGATCCGTCAGCGAATGCGAAAGAAATGCTTCTTAGACATCTTGAGGGATACCTTGGTCTCTACAGCCTGAGGAATCAAGAAACACACACACACAAATAAACTTTGCAGTTTGATATGCAAAGATTACAAGAGACAAAAAGCAGAGACTTGCTATCGCTCAGCGGATTAGAAACTTCTCTCACTTGACTTGTGGGCGTTGAGTCTTCACTTTCAGTTGACCATGAATATGTTAAGTTTGGAGCAGAGGTGGTTCGGATTGTTCTTGAATAATAATTATAAACAGTTTGCTTTCATCTGACGAGGACAGTTTGGGTCAGATGACTGAGAACTGGACACAATTTGGTGATCTGACTGAACATCAAAGCTGGTTTTGGAAACAATGAAGCTGGATAACATTAAGCCTTTCGAGTGACTACTAAAATTTCGTGGACCATACTTAATGGCAAGAAATAGACAAAAAAATGAATTAAGCTGATTCTGCCAATAACCGTCTAAACCAGAATGATGCCAGAAACTTGTCGATTGGTACAAAAAGCATGTGGTTGTAGTGCAACCTTCCAGGGTTATTAAACCAAATCTTATTGGGAATGAAAAAAATCCAATCCCATGACAAACCTCTGACCAGAACAATCAGTAAAAAAAAAAACTAATACACATTCAGACTTAACACAACAAATTTCTCTTATTCAGAGTGCCAAACAGAGGAAAGGTTGTGAAGATAGTGGGTGGTTGGATGTGTGAAATATTGCAGAAGCAGCAGTGACAGCAGACTCCAAGTCGGTTTTTGGTGAGCAGCGAGTACAAGCATGTAACACAAAAATAAGCAACGTGCTGACAACTTCTGCACAAGAGTGACATAAAAGGGAGTTTTGGAACCGAGTTTGCGCCCAAGAACTTGTTCTGTTGGCAGAGTCAAGCCGGGCTTTCTGAGGGAGCTTTGCTTTAGTAGGTGCTGTAGTCAGTGTGGGAGACATCTGACTAAATCCATTCATTTCATTTTCCGTTACATTGGACTAGTTGCCTCGAAGGTTAAAACACTGAGAGGCCAGAGTTGTTGCAACAAAGACACGCATACTCTTTTTGAAATCTTAAATTGTAAATTTTGGTGACATCAAACACAGTTTTTGGAGCTGCACACAGCAAACAAGCAGGGATCTGATTTAATCTGCTTGAGGGAAACAAAAGCTTAGACCGTTAACATAGCAAAATATTCCACTGTAAAACTCAAATCTTATATAAGTGCATGTTTGTTGTCAGAGAAAGAGATAAATTATGTTTTGCGATATGGATGCCGAGTGTTTCACTGTGTTGCTGTGATACAACATTAACATTTTTAATATATTAAATATATATTGCCAGCATGTAGATGGTGATGAATGTTACATTTTCATCCAAACTTGTTGAGGAAAAATAATATACTATAAAATAATAATAATATAGCAGCAAAAACTCACACTTAAACGAACTGTGAGTTCGATTGCGTCTCACATTACCATGTCCATTGTGAATGCAATGACTAGCATTATATAATGAGGGCCAAAGAAGATTAACAACAATCACAACTGTTAAAATTTAAATTTCATTGGATTCTATGGTTTATAGTCCTTTTTGATGAGATATAAGGTGAAGTTCCACAGAAAACGTTGTTTTCTCCAAGGTGTTTGGACAAAAATAAACTAAATGCTAACGTCCTGTCCATACGAACTAACAAATTAACATATGTTTATTGTTTATTCATGGAGTATAAGACTTAAAAAGCTGCTCTTTCATTCTTTTACACTTCTGATTTTTCTATCAGACCAAATTACAGGTGAAGAACCAAATGATCAGCACATGCGTATTGTCTGTTATTCACAAAGTCACAAATTTTGTCAGCTTTTGTGCTTGAGGAGGGGAACACTGTGCTACTTGAGAAGTGACTGTGTAATCCGAAAAGCTTCATGACAACAAAGTCTTTGCAATTTGACAACGTGGAGTTTTTCTTTGAGGAATTTTGACAGCTTGTGGAAAATCATTATTAAAAACCGATTCAGAGTTTAGCTTCAAAGTGATTGCGACGCAACTGGTGGGACTTTGGACAGCGAGCGAAGAAAAAAAAACAACAAAACAACAAAAACACTTACCGTCAGAAACTTTCCAAAAGGAGAGCATAGGAAAGAAAAAAAAGAGACAAAGACAAGGTTAGCCATAATTTCTTTAGAACAAAATTGCTGCGTTCTATGTATCCCTTAATCCAGATATATTACATGAGCTACTGAAAGCATTAACAGGAACACAACTCTAGTTTGCCGGATCAATGGCTGAAGAGGGAGACCGAGACTGGGGAATAGAAATGAAGATAAGCAACAGAGGCAGAGGAAGAAAAGAGAAAAGGAGGGGAAGAAAGAATGTGGAGAGATCAAATAGAAACAATTTTCAGATCGGGATGGAAAAGGATCAGTAGGGGAAAATAACACCGAAATCATTACATAGATGAAGAGAGAGAGAACATGAAAAGAGATATGGAGGATGATCAAGAGAACAGGAAAACTGATAAAAATCCAATATTTCCGATTGAATTGCTGGAGGCAAAATAAAAAAGGAGTGCAGCTGAAAGAGAGCACCAACTCCCAAAGCCGCAGAGACTTGTGCTGTAATATTGATCTGACAATTAATCCTCTACCCAAACATGCGTAAACGAGTTCAGCTCGAAAAGCCCTGCTAACCAGAAAACACAACAGAAATACCCAGCAGCGCTGCTGCTGCAGCCAGCAGAAAGCAGAAATTTCAGCAGCGACGGTCGAGGAAGACAAGAACCCGGAGGCCTGAAAACCAGTCGGGAACCGTGCACAAAAACACACCGGGGGGTGCTGGCTCTAAACAGACACTCAACGTTCACAGCACTGCGAACACACACACACACCGTCTTCCGGGCATGTGTGTGAGAGCTGATGCGCTTTGATCGCACACAGGCAGGAACCTCCTCACATGTGCACACTCATGCATGCTCACAAACGAGGCAGTTCTGCACTAATTTGAAGGCTGCCTCGGCTCACTGGGGGGGATAGAGACTCGTTCTGTGTGCTGCAGCCAGTTCAGGCGTCACTCCTGAAGAAGAAGAATACATTTCATGACAGAGAAGAAGGAGGTGAAATTTGCCCACCTTCCCATCTCTGTTCGACAAGCTCTTGCATCTGATGTTTATAAATAATACAAGATATCTTGAATACATGTGGGTTTTTAAATGGATTTATATTATTTTGGTGATATTGCTACCAAAGAACAGGAGTGGTGTAATTCAGATTTTGTATTTATTTTTTGCCATGGATAAATCCCAGCAATCAAATCAAATATCCATCGCTTCAGTAATAGAAGTGAGCATTTTAATCAGTTAGCATGTTGTTTTCTATTCATTTTAGCGCTTTTGAATTACTTGCGATTCCTATTTTGTTCCAATACGACTCCTTCTTGCTTAAAAAAGTGGGTTTATCTTTCCAGCTACAATAGCATCATTTATAATCTCGACCTCATTAGAAAGCTGAACCACGTGAGATGATTACAGAGTGAAGATATGTGTTACTGTGTCGCAGTGGAGTAACCCGGAAACCATATTGCTCAAAATCAAAACCGCTGACGTAAACACAGCCCGTCTACGAACCTGTAGAGGAATATTCACAAAGAAACTGCTCAAGTCTGGATGCTATTCTTCTCAAATAACATTGTTTTCAGCTCATTTTGGTTGCTCAATCTAAAGGTTTTTTTCCTTGTAAAGACGTGAAGTTTGACCCTAAGCACAAGGCAGCAGCTCATCGCCACGTCCGTTGTTCTGTCAGATCAGCATACGTTGTCAGATAAGTCATACGCTTAGCTCAGACATGTATACGCTGTTATTACCATATGATTTTATTTAATTAGCAACATAGAATCATGACGTAGATCATCATACACTTTGTTATTAACAGCTGTATGGCATCCTGACTTAGCGGATAAGTAGGTTAATGAGTTTTACACGGGCCTGTGTTGTAGTTGACTGCAGCTGCAGCCAGACCTGCTTTAAATACACTTTGAAACCACGACAACGCATGTATCTATCTAGTTATCATATTATGTCATATTATAAACAATTTAATGACTTATTTTCGTCATAACTTCTTGCGTAAACTGAACTGACAACACCACTGACGGTCGGACTTCTTAATGCGCATGCGCGGGCATGCGTACTCACTGCATGTATGCTATCCTGATCATAGACATTAATACGTATTTATGTCTATGATCCTGATAGCGTATGGCTATCTGATAGAACACCGTCAAGCAGTCAGATTCAAGAAAATGGAGACGCGATGCCTGCACATATATATATCTGAAAAGCTTGCATGGTCCAGAGGGAAGTAAATCCCAAAAATAGCACACCATGACAGGAGCGTGTACCCTTCACTCTAAAACTCTCTGTCACCTTCATCACCTTCACCAGCTCCCCTGAGGGGCTTCAGGTGAGAATATTAGAAACTGCTGCATTTAGTTAAACAAATGAGTTTGAATAAGGGTAGACCTAAGTAGAATGCATTGGCCTTTTTTGTGCTTTTGTTACGAATTTAACCGAATTGCAAAAATAAAAAAAAAATTATAATTGATCCTTTTCAGACGGATCATTTTCAGACTGGCATATGCTGGGCGTACTGACTGCGAAACAGGAAAAGCATGAAAACAAAGCACCAATCTAAAACCTAGCTAGTTCTAGAAATGCTAAACGTTTTGGACAAGGAGGACGTAGGAGGGCACAAACCACCAAATCAGCTCCCGAGTCAACATTTTACCTAAAAGGAAAACATGTTTAACTTATTAGAAAAAAAGAGAAAAGTTAACACTAAAATCACTCAAAGGGAAACTGTAGAAGAGAGAGGGAGCAGAGGGCAGATAAATGCAGCTACTGACTCGCCAGGATGACCATGTCCATCCCCCAGAAGATGCTCATGATCCATCCGACCATTATGACAGCTGTCAGGATCTGGATGAGGGCAGCCGCCATGTTGAGCCAGAACACGCAGCACACGCCTCTCTCTGAGATCAGCTCGCTGCGTGCGCCGCACAGCACGGTGAACGCCGAGACGAAGGTTCCTGCGATAGAAACAAAGACAAAATACTAAGCTGCACAGTTTTAAAAAATAATAATAATAATAATAAAAGAACAACAAAAAACGAAGGTAGTAACAGCTGCGATGTCGCCGAAGCAGCCTCACTTATCACTGCCCTGTATTTGGCTCTGTGATGTTTGTAGACTGGCGTGATTAAGGACTTTTTAAAGTAGTTTTCCACTCTGGTTCATCTCCGGTGAGTTATATCAAACAACTGTCTTCCCTGGGAAATAGACCAGAGCACTCTGATGAAAACAATTCACGAGTTAATGTGAAGTGAAACTCACAGCAGCGCCTGGAGCTGCTCAGGAAGTCTTCTCTATACTCAGCATAATTACTACAGGATAAAAACAACAACAACAAAAAAACAATAAGCAATGGAAATGTAATTAGTTTTTTTTTAAAAAAACATTTGGAGTATGATCTAATGTGTTAGCATTCATCTTCTTGACACAAATTTCAGATTTATGAAGTTCATAAAATTTCAAGGATATCTCACAGTCCCCCGACTCTTCTGACTCCGAGCTATGAGACAAGATCACCACACACACACACGCACACGCACACACACACACACACACACACACACACACACACACACAAGTTAATGCAATCACACAGAGCACTTTGTTTGAGGCTGCTGCACTTCTTCTGCTTAGAGTAAGAAGCCTTGTAAAAGTATTTATACCCCTTAGACTTGGTCTGGTTATAAACACAAAGTTCAACGTGCTTCATTGGGTTTTTGTGTGATAGACCAATTCATATTAAAATGATTTTCATGGTTTTCCTCAGATTCATCTGGAATGGCAGCGTCATGCTGCGCGAATGAACTTCTTCAGCAGGTAAAGAGAAGCCGATCAGAGCTGATGGGAGGATGGACTGAACAAATACCGGACAGTCCTGGACCAGAACCTGTTGAAGGCTGTAAAAACCCTGAGGCTGGGGCAGAGCTTCAACTTCTGCGAGGACCGAACATGGTTAAAATTAAAGCACAGTTGTCTCAGAACGGCCTAGTCAAAGTCTAAACTTGACTCATGTCGGTAAGACTTCAAAAATAACGTTTGGACACATCATGAATCAGTGGGACTGAGTCCGAGCTGCTATGCAAAGAACAATGTGGAAATACTTCAGAGTCCACTTGTTTAAAGCTAGTGGAGACGTTTATAAAAAGCCTGACTGGAAGACTGAATACAAATAAACCACTCCTTTCTAATATTTTGAGAAATTGTAAAATCTACATAGTTTTCATCCTCAGGATGATGGTATATTGTGTAAAATACATAGAAGTCTGTGGTTGAAACTAGATAAAATTAAAAGAAAAAGTTTAGGACGTCTGCATATTTAAAAGAAACTCTGCACAGACCCCCCAGTTAAAACTGTGTAAACATACAGAGGGATTGCAGACCAAGTCACCACGTAAACTGCATTGATTACAAACCACTGGTAGATAAGCACCCAGCTTTAACTGTGATTTTACATCCACTCAGCTCGCAGCCGCTGTGGCATCGTGTCTCCATTCCCTGGAAGCCCGCAGCCATATTAACCCACCATTGACTGCATGAGCTGAAATAAGGGATCATCTCTCTGGACAATTGTCGTTTTCCTGAATGCACCATCACTCCTCGCCCAGAGCACCTCGGCACATTTATCGCTGCCGCAAACGTTCTGTGCGAACGCGTGTCACGCTGTCTGCGCACACAAGCCACATTGTTGTATCGCTGTGTTTCCATGACAACACATGCTCACGAACAGCATTTTCCGCGCATAAAGGAATGACTGTTGCTCTTTTGATATGAAGTTAATGGATGATTCTTGGGCTGCCTCCGTGCTTTTCTTTTGGATTATCTCGCCAGCAACAAACTGCATTGGATTTGGCCTTCTTGTGTATATTTGTCCATTTATAGTCATGAATGGGGTTCAGACTAAGCTGGCACAGGAGTCAGACGTCTTAGATTACAAACATCTGACACAGTTTTAGTGTAAACTGTGTTAAACTGCTGAACACTGGGTTTTCTGATAAACATAATCTGTGGCATAAAAACAGAGTTTTTCCCATATATATTCTTACAGGTGTTTTCCTGGTACTTTTTCCATTGGAGCAGGTTGGTTAAGATATTTTTTTCCCTTTGTAAAGAAAATCCTAATTGGGTTGGGTCATCTTTGCCTGGATGATCTTAAACGGTGTGATAAAATAAACACACAAAAGTAGAAATCCAAGTGGTTCGATGTATCATTTCTTCTTAGAAGTGCTGCACCAATCGGCTGACAGCCTGTCAGCGTGCTGTCTGGACTTTTACTGCTTAGAACAGGGTGGCGTTAATAAAAACTAATTTATGGATGACTTTACTGAAACGTCAGTAGATGTGGCCACCGTTTCCTACTTGAGTGACAACCTACGATGCTGCGATGTTGCTACGCATTCGTCTGCATTTAAAGTGAGAAGAGACAATCTCAGAAAACCTTGTGATGTTATTGTTAAATTGTGACAACAACATCAGCGTCAGATGCGATAAATCCACATTTAATTCACTCCTCTGTCTCTCGGCTGTCTTTCTGTAGCTTTTTAGCTTTTGTTGTCTTGAAAACCGTCTTGTGTGCCAGGTGTGAACATACAGTGAGACTCCACTCTTTCTAATTAGTTGACAACACAGGAACACCGTTACCCAGAAACACTGCATTTTAAACAGTCCTGTCTTATTAACACTACATGCCCTGATATGTTGGATATTGGATTGGCCAACTCAGGTTTCAGTCTTGTACACACAGGCATTGTGTGATGTGAACACACAAATGTATGAGTGTGTTTGTGTTTTTGTGTGTGTCACAAATAGGAGCCTCAAAACCATAAAGAAGAAAAACATTGTAAAAATTTTTGAAACCGACGATCAGACGTCGTCTTTTTGCGAGGCTGAAAACATTTTTTTTTTCCCCAGAAAATGTTGCTTGTTCAAGGAATTATTTAAAATTTTGAGGATAAAAACTATTATGTGAATAAGTTTTCATGTAGAACACCTTAGTACGTCTGAATTTAAATCTGTCCTTTTGTATCTGAATAAACCACTAACCATACTGAGTCCAAACTCGCTGGTACGCTCAAGCTGTGGTTACGACATTAGCCACAATTTCTCTTGTGAGAATTGTACCAATTCTTAAAAGATTCATATTGTTAATCTGCATTCTAAGTTCAAATGATCAGCTTTAACTAAAAAAATACAGAAGTAATAAATAAAAACAAAGATTTCTTAAAGAAAACATGCGGTACATGTAGCACATCCCTATGAGAAGTCTGGGTATTATAATTGCGAATCAACAATTTCCATTTATTTATTCATATAATCACATTTAGTCATACATAATTAGTGCTTTTCTCCAAAAGAATTACTGTTCTGTGGTTTTCCAAGTTCCTGATTTGAATTCAGGACTGTGTCAGAAGACGTTTACTAAAAATGCAAATCTGCTGCACTTTGTGAGTTTGTTGATCAAAAACGTTAAGGAACAAGACATCCTGTTGTTTGTCCGAGGTTAGCAACTCAGCAGGAATTATGCAGGTGTACTTTAGTATTTGGTGAAAAATACTTGTAAACAAACGTGATCTCAGCAGTTTAGATTGCTAATCAATGTTTTTTTTTTTTTTTTTAAGCACGGAAAGCTCTTTTTTTAAATGGTAAACTAAAAGGAAAGGAAAGAAAATGACTTCATGTTTGCAGGAAGAATCATAAAATCTTTGACCGTTTTATTATTTTTTTTTATAAATTGAAGCAAATTATTGATCTCATATTTGAAAAATAGCTTTAATATAAAGTTGCACCACCATATTCAAAATAACAAACAGTCCATGCGACTCTTTTCTCGAAGTCAAATCAACATCTCCATTCAGACAATCAGCTGATGTCTGGCCGTCGTCTCTTCAAGCTTTTCTGTTTTCCTTCTTTTTGCAAAATCTGAAGTGATTCCTGCAAACGCTGACAGCCACACTGGAAGTGCCAGTGGGCTTTATGTGCATCGCAACTTTGGTCCTTTCCTCCCTGCAAGCTTCGGTTCTTGTCACTTCGGAGGAATTCAAATACCAGGAGGGAAAAAGCCGAACAGGTGGAAGGAAGGAGGAGCGAGAGCGGCCCGGCTGCCAGCTGAATGTTGCTCGTTGGAAATAAGGAAATGCCACAGATCGATCCTGTTCTTGTTAGTTTGACCGCAGATCATTTCTGTGTTTCATTTGAAGCTAGATAAGCAAATAGGGCAGATGCATCAGTCTTTTAAACGAGTGCAGTGAAATCATACCTCAGTCGGCATGCTTTCACCCTTAAATCGCTAAAAGACGTGGGAAAAACACCCGTTGACCTCTTGCATTTGAAGTGCTCAATCTTTCACCTGCGACTCACTTCAAAGCCTCTCACATAAAAGAGCAGCAGGAACACAAAACCGCTCAGATCGGATCTTCGGGTCGCCGAGGCCTCGCCCACCAACAGATGCTCTGGCTGCCTGGCGGAGCCGCCCACTTTCAGACGTGACTGACAGCAAGCTGCATGGTTACGCATCACTTCCATCTGAGCTTTGGCATGCACAACAGGATTTATACGGTCTGGATACTTTCACTTTTTCCTGTCTGGTTTCCAACTTCTGCTCACTCTGTCAGGTACTGATAACACGTGTCGCCTGGCGTTAACGTGTTTATCATCTATTATGTCCACTAGGCAAAGAGAGTTGTGAGTAAAAGCCTTTTCTGTTTTCTTGGTATCTAAAATCGGACATATTGCCTATAGAATTTATTTATTTATTAGCTATTTCTTTCTCGTCTTTATAAATACAAAAAAGTCAATAAACAAGAAGAATTTTCTCAGCAGTTACTTTGAGACCGGCTCATGGCCACTGGATTTTTATTATTATTATTTTTAGCCAGAAATAGCTTCATGTTGAGGCCTAAGACAACATAACAGGAGCAGGGTAACAAAACAGGAATGCTGCACATTTGAGTGTGTTGCCATG